CTTTATTTCCTATGGCAAGTCTTCAGAGTCAGTATTATTGGATGAAACTAATTTCGGTAATTTTCTTTTTCTTTTCTTCTTTTTGTTGAGACAGAGCTTCACTTTGTCACCCTTGGTAGAGTGCTATGGCATCACAGCTCACAGCCACCTCAAACTCTGGGGCTCAAGTGATTCTCTTGCCTTAGCCTACCAAGTAGCTGGGACTACAGGTGCCCACCACAGTGCCCAGCTATTTTTAGAGATGAGGTTTCGCTCTGGCTCAAGCTAGTCTCAAACCTGTGAGTTCAGACAGTCTACCTGCCCCGGCCTCCCGGAGTGCTAGGATTATAGGTGTGAGCCTCTGTACCCAGCCTACAAGAATTTCCTTTATTCAGTTTAGTTCATGACACTTTGGGTTGAAATCCATCCTTGTTAGGGAAGTATGTGTTTCTTGTTTTGTCTTCATGCTGACATATATCATAACTCTAGCTAAAGATCATGACAGGAAAAGTATTACTACAACACTTTTTAGTAAGCACAAGAGTAACAGCAACATTCCCATTCCAGGGTGACGACCCTTCCCTCCCTCCCTCCTCCTCTATTTGATAAGTCTGTCACCAGTGGGTATTTATGAAGCACCCAGTCTCTACCAGCCCTAACAATAGCCACTAGCCTATTGAGCAGATGAGAAAGTGGAAATATTTCCTGCCCCCATGGAACTTAAGATCAAGTATGGAAACCACAAAACAAGTAAATTAGTAATTAAAACTATGATAAGTGTTATAAAGTAAAAAACAGTAACAAACTGTAAAGAGTTTGGGGGGATTGACCAGTTGTGTACTCTTCTCACATCACACAGATGTTTATTTCCAGGGTTCCCTTTTATAAGCCATGTTCTGTCTTTCTGCCTCTGGAAGAAAAATGACATTGTCATTTGTTGCCTCAGGCAGAGGAACCACACCCACATGGTCGGGGAGGCCCAGGCTCTCCTGGCTGCAAGGGCTTCCCAGTGGCAGGAGACTGGTGGCCTGAGCACAGGCAGGTGCAAGTGGGGTGGAGTCGGAGGCCAGCAGGGGCCAGGTCCAGCTCAGCCCCTGGGTGGCACCGGCACTGCTCTGACCTCACACAGAGGGTTGGAGGCAGGCGAGTGGGGTCCGTAGACGTGTGACTGAGGCTGACTCCAGACTCCATGGGGAGAGAGAAAAGCAAAGGCTCTGGAGGAGTCCAGGTGGAAAGGTGCTCCAAGCTCAGGGGGCTGGAGTGCGGGCGGCAGGAGGGGGCTGAGTGAGAACTCAGTGGGCTGTGGATGAGGAAAGGAGGGCCTGGGCCACAGCCCTGGGTGGAGATGCTGCTGTCCCTAAAGACAGGTCACAGGAAGTGGGGCAAGGTGGGGGCAGCCAAGAGTCTCAACAGGCCTATGGAGTTTGTGGCTTCCCATCCCCTCCTGGGGGTTCAGCGGCAGGTTCAGGGACCACACTCAACAGTGAGACTCGAGCTGTGAAGACAGACCTCCCCCCAAGGGTCTCTATTGGGAGGGTGGGAAGACTATGACAGAGTCTATGAGATCAGAGTGATGACAGGGCACAGGCAGGGGAGAAAAGGCTGCAAGGATATGGGGAGGGGCCCCAGGTGCCGAGTCAGACACCCAGGGAAGGGGCTGCAGCAGTGAGTGAGGGAGGCTCAGGCACGGAGCCCACACTGAGCACCTTTCTCTAAAATGCTAAATTCGTGCAGCTTTGCTTGATCCCATCACCTGGAGAATCAGGTGCAGGGTGTGCAGATAGATGCGCTCAAAGTCTGTGACCAATGATGGATCATTCTGTTAAGTTTATGAAAGAGTCCATTTTAAGTCAACTTTAAAACTTGATTCCTTTTACTATCACTGAAGAATCTGAAACGTGTGTGAGCCCACTGACATTGGATGATTGTCTATTTGGGCAGGTTTCTCAGAGCGATGGGTCAGCCACAAAATAGACAGCGGGAGTCTTTGCTAGACTCCTGCACAGGGGTTAGTTCTGCCAACCGTGCTTCCCAGGCCACACTAGGCTGGTAAAAAAGCAGAGCTGGGCTGCTGGGCTGCCCACCCCACCCCCGTCGTGCTATAAAACTTCGGTTCCGCACCAGGGTCTCCCACCTGAGTTCTCACAGGATCCTTGCTGTCTCTGAGATGGCCCCTACTGCCACCATGTCCCAAAGGATGGCCGTAGGCTGTGTGCGTGTGCCTGCTCCCTAGGAAGGCTGACCTCTCCACCTGCTGGCACACTGCAGAGACCTCTCAGGGCCTCGTGATGGAGACGTCTGTGCTGAGGCCACATTCTGAAGCTGTCATCTCCTCCCTGTCACTGAGCTTACTCCTGCTTTGCCCTTCCTGGGGCAGGAAGACCCAAAACAAGCTTATGAACTGTGACCTCCACATCAAAATTAAGTTGAATTACAGAATAAAGACATACATTTTTTTTCTTATACATTTATATCTGTGAGCTGTGAACTGCTCACAGAAAATATCTGCTGACCTACTCTAAGGGCCACCCCTTCCTCTCTCCTCTCTCTCTGCACACAAGACTCTCCTCCAAGACTGTTCCCAGCACATGCTACCCTTTAGAGTGTGCTTTTTT